AGGGTCGAGTGTCCAACAAACATCAAGAAGATTCCCAACACTCCCAAAGCTTTCAATGTGGTGAACAGATTCAACTGCAACACAAACCAAATTTCAACACATTTGATGTTTTCAGGTTACATATGATTATTTTTTCTCTCTTTATTATTATGAATTTGAAACATGGTAAAAGGATAAAGGGAAAGGGTGGGGAGGACCTTCAGCCAGAAGAGCAGATAGAGTGCGAGAACAGCTGCAATGCCAACATGAAAAAGAGCAGCAAACGTAGCAGGAACGGGGGCAGATGGGAAGTTCTTCAGGTTCACTCGTAACCTCAAAAGCTGTCATTATTTATATATTTATTGACAGGAATAATAAATACTCGTAATGAAGCAAATTCTGCATGACAAAAAAACATGCATCAAGAGGCTGAATAACGAAGACTAACCCCAATCAAAAACCCAAAGAAGGGCAAAAGGACTAATGCCAAAAATGCAAGAGAAAGCTCTCTAGGAGGCTGTTTCTCTGGAACCCTGAATATGTGAGATATTTCTGCTTTGGGTCCATAGTTTGTGGAAGAGTCAATGGGCTGCAGAGGAGGTTGGGCCGCCTTCTCAGGAGCCTCAGGAAGATCCAATTCAACATAGCCCAGTGATTGCAAAAAAGAGTTTTCCTGAAGAAGAAATATCCAGCAAAATTTTTAGCATGATTGTTTCTTTCCTGAAGAACAAATATCCAGCACAAGTTTTAGCATGGACCACCCCCCATGGTTGGGGCTGTGGAGGGGTTTTAACTCAAAACCAAAGTACATACCATAACAGCATCACCAACAGTGAGTTGAATATCATATCTGCCTGATAGATAGAAAAGCTTCTCGACGAGTCCAAGAAAATCCTAACAGCACAGAATTTAAAGAGCGAGTTAAACTCAGTGAAAAAAGATGATACAATTCACTCATGGCTATCCTCAAATTGTGGTAAACTTAATATCACAAACTCAATAAGGATATACTCCAGGCATCTTCCGGAAAAGATTGAGAGAAATAAGCAAAACAAAATATAACGTCTACAGAGGAAACATGAAATTCTGCAAATTCCTTTGAAGAAAAACAAGCATATCCAAGTTTCACAAATGAATGGTTTTACGAACTTAACTAGAATTATCTCAAATTGCTTTCCAGAGCTCCCAACCACAAAGATATGTTCGACACTGCTCATGGCTATCCTCAAATTGTGGTAAACTTAATATCACAAACTCAATAAGGATATACTCCAGGCATCTTCCGGAAAAGATTGAGAGAAATAAGCAAAACAAAATATAATGTCTACAGAGGAAACATGAAATTCTGCAAATTCCTTTGAAGAAAAACAAGCATATCCAAGTTTCACAAATGAATGGTTTTACGAACTTAACTAGAATTATCTCAAATTGCTTTCCAGAGCTCCCAACCACAAAGATATGTTCGACACTGCTCTCGTGTCTCAACTTGAGGAATGCCTGCACGGAGGGGCATAAAATTTAAGTACATAGAAAACTAATGCAGCCCAGGAGAACCAAACATATATATATATATATATATATATATATATATATATGTATGTATGTATATATATATATATATGTATGTATATATATATATACATACATATATATATATATACATATATATATATATATAGACACACACACACACACAGATATACATATACACACACACACACACATGAGAGCCTGTAATGTTAAACCACTTCAAGTGGTGTAACATCCTCCGTTCGCAAAATTGATGGTTCCTACTTCCTACCCCCCAAACCCCCCCGACCCATCAATTTCACCCCGTCCACAAACCCCTATATATATATATATATATATATATGTATGTATGTATGTATGTATGTAAATGTATGTATGAATAAATGAATACAGTAAATAATAAACAAAAAAACAAGCAGCAAACCTGGTGTGGTTTAAAAGCATGTCCAAGAGGAGTGGTCAACTGAAAGGCTAGCCGAAGTTTCTGAAGGTGGTTAGCCTGTAGAGAGGCAGAATTCTCCCCAGCAAAATTCAGCCTGAGCCAATTGTTGTATGAGTATGTTAAGAGGGTCAAGTGTGCACCAAATAAGGAGAAAGATCACAAATGAACAGCCATTAACTGAGTTTCTCATGACCATTTAGTAAATGATCTCATACTGATTAGGCCTTGCTGCTTGCATTGTGATTGACACACAAAGCCAAATCAAGATCTAATTAATCAAGCATTGTGTGCAGATAACGAAAGAACAGAAATATGAGTAAGAAAGAAGAAACATTTCACAATACATTTTTTTTGTTTCCACGTTCTCAAGATCACTGTCGAGAATAGCAATCTCCGCATGGTCAGCTGCGATTACTCCCGTGACATATAAAGTTACTTTGCTTCTTCCACCTGTAGCATAGATTTTCTTATGCTCTGGATCATGAAGAACAATCTGCACAACAAGGCCAAGAGAAAGGAAGAAAGTCATAGATGCTATTCCTAAAGAACGGGGAATGATTAATATGAGAAGTAAGCACATATCAAGAAGAATAAGGAAAGGATCATACATCAAAACTGAAAATGTAACTCCCAACGTCAATGCTTTCTGGCAGAGCATCCAAAATATGTACATCATTTTCAGAATCAAACTTGAGATCCTGAAGCATTCAGGAGAAAGATAAACAAAGTAAGAGAGACAGAAAAAGGTGACATGATCATCGCAACTACAACTACTTAGGCACTTAGAACCTGATCAACTAAGGAAGCATCCCTTGAGCCGGAGACAAAGAATTGCTTGAATCGTACTGACAGTGGAGGCGCAGAAGATCCCAACACGGTGTTTACATGTACCTAATAAATACAATTTAAAGAACTGATTAATTGAAAACAACTAACTTTGTCCACAAACCCCTAGTACAGAGTGATCAGCTCGTGCAAGAACAGAGTGATCTGGTAGAGAGGTTGTGTCCGAAAGACGCCCAGCACACTTATGAGTTTCTTATCAAATAAGAATATCAATAAATAATGCGGAGCAATAATTACAATACTTCTGAAATCCATGCCTCTAGAAAACGACCAGGCAACGAAAAAAGAATAGAGGGAAAAAACATTCTTTAAATAGAAGAAGCATCTGTATGAGGTATTTGAAAATAAAATTATGAGTATACAAGTATAAAATAAATGGCACACCTTTAGCTGGTCTTTTCTAGTCAATGACAGCACAGTTGTGGGTAGTGACAGAATCAAAGGAATATAAACCCTACACACAATACAACGGCATATGTTAACAGATAGATCTGATAGAAAAAGCCATCAAAACAACATCAACTGTGACACAGAGAAAATAATATTTATATATGACATGCCTATTGTCTTCCAAGCAGGCAAGTGCATCAATCTGGTAGT